GAGAGAGAGAGAGAGAGAGAGAGAGAAAGGAAAAGTGGAATGAGTAAGAAGCACCATTCTCTGCACTGTATAAATACCCACACAGATTGGTCTTCTGTGCTGTCACGTTGTTGCTAAATAAAACTGGTTTATTTAGGATGATTGATTACAAGATTGTGGCTCATACATCCCAAACACGGCACTTTAAAAATCACATCTTCTTTTTATTTGTATGGACTGAAAGGATTTTCATATCTTTGCTTCCTCTGTGATTCATCATTTTCAGAAATTGAGTCAGTTATCCACACAAAGTTGATCTATAGTGCCTACCCCTGATAGCAGATTGTCCTGGTTTATTAAAAGTCAGGTGTTAGCTCAAGTTCCTCACCACAAAGAATAGCAAAAAGTGAGTCAGATCCTCAGGTAGTTGAAGGTGACAAAGAAGAAAAAGGAGATGTATGTAGATGTAGGAGGCCATTCTCCAAGGCCTTGTCTATATTGGCCAGGAGTATTCTGGCCCCACATCTGCCTCAACCTGCCCTTATTGCCTGGCCCTCCATTCCCACATTATGGTGTCTGTCTGCACAAGTGTCTCGCTGGGTCATCCACCACATCTGCCACCACCACAGATCACTCACTTCTGAGGTCCACCAACAGTCACACGCTGGACGCCTTGCTTTGACTTCAGAACCAGTGACCAGTGGTGGACATATCAGATGGCACAGTGGGATCTCTGTGCAGATATGGTGCAGGAAGAGAGGCCTCCAGATCTTCCTGAAAAATCTGGAGCAACACAGACATTTTTGAAATTCATATGAAGGCTGTTGAATCCTAGTTCTGGAGTAGAACATGTCAGGTGTCATCAACTGATTACACAAGAACTAGGATTTGGATTGTGTGTCATCCAAATAGGACAACACCAGAACAGGGAAGGGAGACAGACAAAGCCAGAATACCTGGTTGAACAGTGTTGACCTGAATTTGTACATCCCAGGAGACAGTAATATCTGGGAAGCACCTTCCCTTGCAGCCACTGTATTGGTTGCTTCTTCTTGGGAGCCCACAAAAATGCCACATCCTCGGAAGATGGTGTCAATCTGGTGGAGAAAATGGCACACCATTTATCCCACACCATTTCCATTTATCCCACACCATTTCCACAGCCTACAATTTGGCTCAATAAGTCATCAACCTTCACTTTCAATTGCACGGATAGCTCTCATTTCTCTTTCACACACACAAACACCCCCACCATACACCAGCATCTCATTTCACCTGCCACAGGCTGCAGGACACCACATTTGATTCTGACAGGGAACAAGAAACAAAAATATTGCAATCACACCTAAGATGTCAACAGCTTTTTCAGATATATATTAAAGAACTTGGAGCACAGAGAGGTTGTTTATGTGTCTCCATGTATGTGTTGTCAGTAGTTCAATCTCTCCTCTAGGCCACAAAGAAGGAGGCATAGGTAATACCCAGCATAGGGATTGTGGCTGGTTAATAAAGATAACTTTGTTACTTACAAGCAAAATATATGTAATGGAAAGAAATTTGTCTGATGGGCACATTTCTTCATCTGACGGGCTTGTTTATGAGATAGGAAAGAATTTTTTGTTTGATCCACATTTTAAAGTGAACTGACCCAATTTCAATTTCCCACACAAATATGTAGACCTGGCACAATTATCCTTCGGAATGCACACTTATGCGAATTTTGCAGTGCATGCAGCTATTGGCTCTCAAATTATGTACAATATATAATTAGAGAATGATGAATATACTATGGAAAATTGCATGCAACATGTGCATGTTGGAGGAAACATCAAGTGTTGGCAGAAAATCTATAGGACTGAGTTGTAGAGAAAAAAAATGCAAATATTTCTGCTTTTTGTACCCCTGCTGTACAAGAAAATCCACATTTTTTTTAAAATGTAGAAAACAGCATCTTTCTGGACATGAACATCATTTTCTAAACAAAGCACAACATTTCTGTACAGAAAATACTGTTTCCAAAACCCACTTTTTTTTCACAGAATAAGTTTGAATGGATCCTGAAAATGGCACAATTTTTGGAGATGTTCTCCCAACTGGGAGAAAAATAGCAAAATTATTCGCTATTATATGCAGGAATGAAAGTTAGGAAGATTTACATCTCTAGAATGATGTTATAGTGATATATACCAGTTGATTTTCACTGACTAAGTTGTAATTCAGGACTAAATTACTTTTGCCTTACAAGCCATT